GGGGGGGGGGGGTAAACCAGTGACAAGCAAGATCTTCCAAGCAGAAATCAAAGTTATCATGGCAAGCGATGGGGCAATAGACCTCAAGGCCAAGGCCAGTTATTTAGGTCAGGAAAGAACAGCATACGCACTGAGTGGGTGGCAATTGACGTGCTTTGGGATTCATGTGAGACACAAAGGTTTTGGTAAATGTCAGTTCATGAGCAATGCAACAGATAGAGGGTATTGGGTCTGAACGGAGAAGAGGTATTTTCTGTGATAAGGGTGACAGAGAAAGTAGTTAGTCAATAAACAAGCAAGGTCTTCGAGTGGAAACCAAAGTTATCATGGGAAGTGAAGGAGCAATCGCCCACAAAGTTAAGGCCACAAACTAACCACCATATTTTTAAACTGACAAGATTTGTTTTTTTGATTTGAAACAGGGGCAGAAAATTTCGTTTGTTTCGGAGAAACCCTCCATAAGGAAAAGCAAGCACCAGGCAAGTTTGAACATAAATTCTCAAGACCCTCTTGGAAAATGGGACCTCGTTTAAAATTCAAAACATTCATGAGTTGCAAGATCTAGCATAAGTGTACCCCAAAGGAATATAAATTGGCTTCAAAGTTTTCATGCTTGAGATAGGATTCAATTAAGAGTTTTCAAGACCCTCTTGAATAATGGGACTTAGCTTTAAGATTTCCATTAGATAACAAGATTTATCGTAAGTTCTATTGTAGGGTAGTATAATTCAGCCATAAAAGTTGTCACTCTTAAGATAAGACTTGATTTTTGATTTTCAGGACCCTCCTGAATAATGAGATGTAATTTTAAGACCCTCTTAGATAACAAGGTTTAGTGGGAGTCATACCTTTAGAAGATATAATTTAGATTTAAAGCTATCATTTAACTAGGAGTTTTTAGGACCCTCCTAGATAATGGGATTTAGCTTTCAAATTCTTAGAGATATTTGGTAACATGATTCAATTAACACTCACAGATGCGCCCAGCACCCAACTGGGGCAGGAAAATTTCTTTTGTTTTGTTTATTTTGTTGTAATCAGGTTAAAAGGCAGAAGTTTCAGAGGAACAGTTCAAAGTTTGGCAATCAGGCGCCCACCTGGAGAGCACGGGAATATAGTTAAAGTTTTGGCAATCAGGCACCCACCTGGAGAGCACGGGAATATAGTTAAAGTTTTGGCAATCAGGCACCCACCTGGAGAGCACGGGAATACAGTTCAAGTTTGGTAATCAGGCGCCCACCTAGAGAGCATGGGAATACAGTTCAAGTTCGGCAATCAGGCGCCCACCTGGAGGGAACAGGAATACAGTTAATATTTTGGCAATCAGGCACCCACCTAAAGAGCACGGGAATACAGTTCAAGTTTTGGCAATCAGGCGCCCACCTGGAGAGCACGGGAATATAGTTCAAGTTTGGTAAACAGGCTCCCACCTGAAGAGCATGGGAACACAATTAAAGTTTTGTAAACAGGCGCCCACCTGGAGAGCACGGGAATACAGTTCAAGTTCGGCAATCAGGCGCCCACCTGGAGAGCACGGGAATACAATTAAAGTTTGGTAAATAGGCACCCACCTAGAAAGCACGGGAATACAGTTCAAGTTCGGCAATCAGACGCCCACCTGGAGAGCACGGGAATACAGTTAAAGTTTTGGCAATCATGCGTCCACCTGGAGAACACGGGAATACAGTTCAAGTTTTGGCAAACAGGCGCCCACCTAGAGAGCAAGGGAATACAGTTGAAGTTTCAGCAATCAGGTGCCCACCTGGAGAGCAGGGGAATACAGTTCAAGTTCAGCAATCAGACGTCCACCTGGAGAAAAGGAAAGCATCTCAGATTACAATTCATGTCAGCAACAAAAGAAACTCGTGGCAAGAATGCGAGTCAACAGTCCGAGGTGATCAATAGAAGTTAGTCGCAATAAGGAAAAAAAGAGGGAAATGCAAGAAGTTAATCCAAATGCAGAAGTTGATGAAAGACGTGGGATGCTCAAGACATGGCCGAGGTCACAAGCACTGCATGCCTGGTTTTGATCCGAAAAGCTGAAGAAGAATGAGCTAGCACCTGCAACTAGGAAGCATCAAGGTTCAAATCCAAAGTCTGCATGAAGAACCATTCAAGACTCAAGATCAAGCTTCAGAAGACTTATAGATAGGAATCTTGTAACTCGTAGTTGACAGGCTTAGCTAGTCATTTTCACGTTTTGATTTTTGGTGTAACATCAGGACCGCGAACTGAAACCTCGGCGGAACGGCACCTCGACTGGCTCTCCACCTCGGCATACTCCATCATCTCACTCACTTCTGAACTACACGTGGCCTGATTCATTTATAGTTTAGAATATGTAGGTAGCTCAGATACCATGACTCGGTCACATTCCCCTTTTCTCTTAGTTTTAGTCTCTCCAAATAAGGGTCGGGTCAAAAAACATGTCTAGTCGTTCTTTGTCTGAAAACTCTTCGTGTTTTCAGACAAAGAGGGGCAGCTGTAGACATGTGATTTTTGACCCTCCTCAAGATTTTTCATATTTTAGCATGTAAATATTTAATTTAGGCCTAATAGCGCTATTTCACCTAATTTTGATACTTTTTACTTTATTTCGTCACAAAAAAATGAAAATTACAAAAGTATTTTTGTTTACGTATCTTTCATAGATTTAAATAAAAAATATATAAAATAGCACCTTATTTTTATTTTTATATAATCTTGAAAACACAAAAATAGTTTCATATTTTAATATAGTTTAGTTTAATTAATTAAGATTAGTTTTATATTCTTATATTATAAATTGTAAATTTAGAAGGAAGAGTTAGTTTTGGGTTAGTTTATCCCATTTTAATCATGTAGTCCATTTTTTTTAGTCTTTGATCCAATTTCCAAGCCCATAATTCCTAGGTCCATACCCCCTAACCTAAAAAAACCTATAAAATAAACAAGACCTAGACATATAGATACAACACTAGCAGCTGAAAATACAGGCTACACCTAGGGATAAAAAGCTGATCCGCCGCTGACACCCAAAACAACCCTCCCCCCTACCCCGAACAACTAATCTTCTTCATGGGAGGAGAAGCAACCATTTCCATGGAAGCTTGAACACATAATACAAAGAGAAGCCTCAGCCGTTTTATGATCTGAACCCCAACCTAGACTTCTCTTCTTCTTCACACGTCACCAGCGACAAAACCTTCACCAACACACCCCTCGTCGCCGTTCCTTCTTCTTCACCTCACAGCAGACCGACTGCTATTCCTTCACACCAGAAATGGCCAGAAACCGGCAACGGAATTTTGTTTTGTCAATGGAGTTCGTTTAAAGCTCGTGGAAAGTTCATTTTAGGTTGTCGACTGAGTTTCAAGTTCGTCGTTCCATTTAGTGTAATGTTTTTGTGGAGATCGAGTCTCGTTAAAGCCCGTTCATAGGTCACTATCTCTGTTCGTTGGGTCTGTTCAGTTCCGTCGAGGTTAGAGTGTCGTCCGACGAGGTTCCGCTTCATCGTGATCCGGTACTGGTTTCTTATTTATTCTTGGACTCACCTACTGCTGCTGGATTGGAAATGCAGTTAGATAGGTTTTGAATTGGTTTTATTAACATGGTTATAATCAATGAAGATTATCAGGTACTTTGTCCTCTCAACTGATTCTTGTTTTCTTTAGTTTAACATTCTTTTTCTTTTGGGTTACTGTAAAAGGTAGTATTAACTTTATGTTTTGACCTGTTCACTTTCCCTGCAAAGTCTTGTCCTTTTATAATATTCAACTTATATGTTTCTATTGTGGTTCTGTTATTGAATTTGTTTTCTACTATGTGGGTTTTACCGGTTCTTGATTTATGTTGAGGCGGTTTAGTTATTTTTCCTCCGTTTTTTGTTAAACATTAAAAACATGCGTCTGCATTCTATATTTTTGCTTCATATTCTCATTCTGATGTTTTCGTGGCTTGGAGTTGTGGCTATGGATTCCACTGGAGAAATCTGATGATGATAGCGATGGAATAGAATCTATTATTGTGATTATATACACGTTCGCTTGACATGATTACGATTTTAAAAACAAAATCGGAGTATGCGTCCGCGCAACTTTGCCCAAATTTTTCTTAATAATGATAAAACATTATTAATTGTGGACACGTTCGCGTGACATGATTTTTGACACGCCAAAAAAATGGTTACACGTACGCGTGACCTGTTTAAAGATACTTTTTAAATTAAAAGAGGTGAAAGCACATAGGTTCCAAAATTAGTAATTAGACAATTTTAATAAGTCAAGTATGATCAAAGCGACCGTGCTAGAACCACGGAACTCAGGAGTGCCTAACACCTTCTCCCGGGTTAACAGAATTCCTTACCCGGATTTCTGTGTTCGCAGACCGTAAATAGAGTCAAATTTCCTCGATTCGGGATTTGAAACCGGTGACTTGGGACACCATAAACTATCCCAAGTGGCGACTCTGAATGTTATATAAATAATCCCGTTTTGATTGTCACTTAAATTAGAAAAAACTCCCTTATACCCGTCTGGGTGTAGGAAAAAGGAGGTGTAACACTAATGACGATTGAATTGTAGGATCATGCGTTGTATCAGTTTCTGGGCCGAGGAATTTCTTGGTTGTTTCTTCGAATAGTCATGTGCTGGTGAAGCGCGGGTCGCTCAATGCGTATTAGCTGTGTATTGAAGATCAGAGTAAGATGAGTGGTTATCAAGAAGGTTTTGACGAGTTTCAGGCCTTATGTAGCATTTAAGGACTTTTGAATTTGTGTACTGGTAGGGTTGAGATCGATAGCGAATGATGATCGAATCTGCGGCAGTTCGATGTCAAGAATGAATCTACATGGCAATATTGGAGAGATGCAAGAAATGGCTTCGGGTTCGCAGAAGGTTCCTTCAGAGCGAGCATATCGGATTGAGTTACTTTTGGGTTGGTAGTCTGTGTGACTCGGTTGAGTTAAAAGAGATCAGTTATAATGATTTGATTATGTGTTAATAAGTTCTGAAGAATTCACCATGGTTATGGCCACGGCGTGGAGTTGATATTTTCTACATGTATAGAAGATATATTATGTATAGTGATGTTTTCCTGGATTGAGTTAAATGAAAGGTTCTCTGTTGATGAGGTGTTCAACTTGCTTGTGGTTCAGAGTTGATTACGAGATTTTCGTATTTTCACAAGTTAGCATGTTAGTGGCGATGCGCTGTGTGGGGTTAAAATTTGCGAGTTCAAGGTTACGGTTTAGTTTTTAAGGGAAAGATATGAGTTCTTGATGGCACGAACTAATTTAGGTGTTTAAGAGAATGCTGTCACTATTTGATGTCGTTGGAAGAGAGTGCGCATGTTGGCAGGTACATTATGTTTTGATTTGTGGGTAATTATATGCAATATGATGGAGTATGAGTGACATATCAGCCATTTGAGTAGCGGTGGTGAGATTGGATCGGACTTGCTTACTCTTGTGCAACTGTTACCACAAGTATATCATCGAGCGAAATGGATGTTATTCGCGCCTTGGTCTATGTTACGTGTTTCTCTATTATGCTATGATGGGTTGTGAGGGTTACATGATTTTTTGCACGCATATTGTAATTTCGTTTAGGACTTATGGAGTTATAGGCAAGATGGCCCTTGTGATGTTGATTTGCTTATTGCACCATAGTTGTGCTTATCTTTCTCAGTATTGTTTGTGCCTAACCATCTTCCTACAGTTATATTCATGCACTCTATCGTGCTTGATTTGATGCACATGCGATCAATGAGCTCGAGTATTATGGCTCGATAGATACCCCTATGTGGATTGATATGATTAGATTGGGTTGTGCACCGCAACGGTACAGTGATGTGATATAATTCCTTATGATTATTTTGTGGTTTTGCTTTAACTTTGTTGAATATAGTTCATAGGAAGACGTTAATATTACCCCGCCTTCTTAACTTGCTTAGTAACCTTCTTATTTAACTTTCTTACTATTATGTGTCATGTTTGAATTATTACTTGTTTGGTGAACGGAACCGCATTGTGTGGGGCTCCATATGCTTTCTGGTGTGACTTGTTGGTTGGGCTGCTTATATTGGCGGATATGAGGTTTCTAGATTTGAGAATTGCACTATCGTATTGGGATGAGGAACGTCTAGGAGAATGATACCATATTTTTCACTCAAAATTTGATCTAATGAGTGGTGATGAGTTTCTATGTGTTTTTGTTTCATCATCGATAGTTTATGAGGGTTTAAATGAGGTTTTTATTTGATATGAGGTTTACTACCGGTACCAGCTTTATTTTTGGGCAGTTATTGTGGTCAGAAGTTAATGCGGTAAGTATCTGAGTTACGTGGTATATCATGTGAATACATCTTGGGTTATGGTTATGCTTGGTATAGTTTATTTAGATTTATGCAGTGTATGGATGTGAGAATTGGGTCTTCTAATGAATTCCGGATGTTGGAAGCTGGATTCCAAGATTTATGGATTAGGTTGAAGGAAGAATCTTCGGTTACGTTTAGTTAGCGTACTTATATAGATTAGGGTAACGTGGGATCACCCATGATTATGTGTATGACAGTTTTATACAGTGAGTTGATGGCTTTGAAACGACTCTTGGCACGTTCAAGGACGAACATATGTTTAAGTAGGGGAGAATGTAACGACCCGATCAGTCGTTTTGAGCATTTACATTACGTTCAGCTGTTTGAAACCTTGAGTAGTTTCATATGATGTATTATGGCTTGTGTAAATCATCTATTTTGGTTTTTAGGTGATCCGGAGTTGGTTTGGAAGAATAATTCTCAACTAGAAAGCTTTAACTTAGAAGAGTTGACCAAGTTTGACTTTTGTGTATTTGACCCCGGATCAGAATTTTGATGGTTTCGTTAGGTCTAGATGGTAATTTGGGACTTGGACGTATTCCCGAATTTGCATTTGGATGTTTCTTGAAGGTTCTAGCGTTAATTGGCGAAAGTTGGCAATTTGGAGTTTTGGAATGCTCATAAGTTTGACCGAAAGTTGACTTTGGGGATATCGGGTTCAAATTTTGGTTCCATGAGTTGGAATGGCTTCGTTGTGTCATTTGAAACTTGTGTGCAAACTTTGAGGTCATTCCGAGTTGATTTGATATGGTTCGGCACGAGTTTTGGAAGTTGAAAGTTCAAAAGTTCATTAAGTTTGATTTGAGGTACAATTCGTGGTTTTTATGTTGTTTGATCTGATTTGAAGCTTCGAATAAGTTCGTGCCATGTTTTAAGACTTGTTGGTATAATTGAATGGTCCTGAGGGGCTTGGGTGTGTTTTGGATCATTGGTTGAGAAACTAGTTAAGTTAAGGATTAGGAGTTTGACCATGGTTAATATCGGGTCAATATGACCTCTTTTAGTTGTTTTGAGTGCCCGAGCAGGTTTGTAGCATGTTTATGATTGAAACGCATATATGGTTTGTGTCCGGGAGGTTCCGAATAAGTTTTGGGTGCTAAAACGAAAATTCTTTCGTTGCTGATTTTCTGGTGTAATATAATTACGAAAATATCATTTGTATCCCTTAAATTTACAGACTTCATTTAAAATTTAAAAACATCATATCTCCTTTATTATTAGGTCAAATGGAGTGATTCAAAAGTCTAATTGACTGAAACTTCATAAGGAATCTATTGGAGGCATCAAAAGCAAGTTTTTGGATCATTTAGTACACAAAACGAGATAGAACAACTGGACAAAATATTTAATATTGAGGGTTTGTTCATTTAGTCATATCTTGAGTTGGGGAGCTCGAATTTGGGCAATTATTTAGGCAATTTTTATCATATGGATTGGGGTAAGTGTTGTCTACTCGGTTTTAGCTATATTTTGTGAATCTATCTTCGTTTTTGGTAATTGGATTGTGAATTTTAAAGAAAAAATTGGGGGGTTTTGTACAAAGTTTCATAGAGTGAATTTTTGAGTTTTGAACATCGATTCGGAGTCGGATTTAAGTAAAACTAGTATGGTTTCACTCGAGAAGTCTATTTTAGAGTAACGGTCTATCTTGTTTGAGGTAAGTATCTTGCCTAACTTTGTGTGGGGAAACTACCCCTATGATTTGAGTGTTTAGTGCTAATTGTGTCATGTGAAGTCCATGCATGCGAGGTGACGAGTATGTGCTCGGGCTTATTTGTGGAAATTTGATAGTCTAGGGCTCTTAGGTTCTTATGTTCATCACATATGAAGTTGTTTTGTTATGCTAAATCCTCATTTGCAAGTTTTACCTCTCCGTGTCTTTATTTGGAATCAATTTCATCATGTTCCAACTTTACTGCCGATTTAACTCTTATGTTCCTTAACAAAAGTTGTTGCTGCTTTTATTATTTTGCTACCTTTTTCGTAATTGCCTATTATTAGTTGAAGTTATTATTGTCTTCCCCATAATCTGCTTATCCTTAAATTGAGTTTGTTGAATCTCTTTCGTTATTGCTCGACCGTAATTAAAGTTTGGTTATCCCTTATCATTATTGACTTATCGTTAATTGGAGTCCTTGATTTATGTTATCCCTCTTATCGTTGAATTGTACTTATATGTAGGATCATTGCTACACAGTATCTCTTCCTTGTTGGGCTATTGCTATGTTTTACCATTATCTCTTTTTGTGTCTTTCCTTGTGAGTTTGTTCTTCCTCTTTTTGTGTTCTGAAGTTCCTGAGTTGATTTACTTGTTGTATTCTTGTGTTTATGTCGTTGTTGTTGTGGTATTCAGTATTGTGTTAGCACGAGATTTCTGTCGTACGGTTGTTATTGTTTGCACGAGGTTTCTACCGTGCCATTGTGAGATATTTATTTTTTGGACTACGAGGCGGTACCTCGGGTGTTTCCCTGTTGCATATTGACTTTTGGGACTATGAGGCAATAGCTCGGGAGCACCCTTGTTGCATATTTACTTTTGGGACTATGAGGTGGTACCTTGGGAGCACCCCTGTTGCATATTTACTTTTGGGACTATGAGGTGGTACCTTGGGAGCACCCCTGTTGCATATTTACTTTTGGTGAGTTGTGATTATGAGGTTCGACACCTCGTGGAAAGGCTTGAAAAGATCTAGTGTGAAAGCGGTTGTTCTTATTGAGTTATTGCTGGCTTTCCCTTTTATTTGGTTTTTCCCCGAACTTAGACCGTGATGAGTTACTCTATAGCATTATTACTAACTGCTTCTTATTGCCTATTGTTGTTACTAGTGCATTATTGCAAGTATTGTTTGTATTTCTTATCCTGTCTAGCTTTATATTAATATTGTTCTTTGTTAGTTCATTCACATACTTGTTCAGGTTGTTTAGTTTTGTAGGTGTTTTGATTGTCCCTCGTCACTACTCCACCGAGGTTAGTCTTGATACTTACTGGGTACCACTATAGTATACTCATACTATGCTTCTGCACATTTTTGTGTAGATCCAAATGCTACGGTTATTGTTTATTATTAACTGGCTAGTCGAGCTGTAGAGACTCAAGGTAAACCTGTCGTCGTGTTTGCAGACCGAGGAGTCACCTTTTAATTTCGTTTTTGTACTATTTGATTTCCATTTCGAACAGTTGTATTTAAGGATTTTCTTGAAGAACTCAGTAGAGCTTATGACTTGCACTACAGGTTTTAGAATTGTAAGTTTGTATAGAGATTTCTATTTCGTATTTGTTAGTCGTTGGTTAAATATTGTTATTATTTCAGTAAAGGTTAGGCTTACCTTGTCCATAAGACTAGGTGCCATCACGACATCCTAAGGAGTGAAATTTGGGTCGTGACAGTTGGGAATTTGATGTCACATTCCAAGCATTTTTCAACTTTAGAATTGCATGGTGATATGGGAATTGAGCCGTGCGAATCCATATGGAAGTGCAAAGAAGAAAAATAAGGGTCGTATATTTTGCAATTTGCATATTCAAGAAGGCAAATGACATTCCTCACATGTAAGCCAAGAAAATGGAAAATGAAGAAATTAAAGTTTGGCTTGATCATCTATTTACCACCCCCACGTTACTCGTGGTCACAATCTTGATTCCAAGTTATGTGCCCAATTCATATCGTCCAAGTGGCAAGAAAAGTGGTAAAGTTGATTCGCGTCGTGCCACGACGTTAAATGAGGGGCTTGGTGGGAGGCAACCCATCATTTTTCAAAATTTTTAGTCATTTTTTAAATTTTCTTTTCAGAATAGCTTAGTATATTATTTTTGACTAATCTGTCAACTTTTGGATTTTGGAGTTGATTTGAGAAGGTTGGGGTTACCGGACAGCCAAAACTAGTAGCTGAAGAAAATTGCAGAAAAGTGCAGAGAATCGCGATTGTGTGAAAAACTAGGCATTCTCTAAGAACAAGTGTTTCTATTACCCTATGAGATCGCAGAAGATAAAATGTGGTCACGTCTATGTGAGAAACTATTATTCTTCGCTAAGGCATATTTTAATCTGCGATCGCGGCTCTACAGGTATGTCTTAGAAATTTTAAATATTGGACATCAAAAATAGACACCACTTCTACCCAAACAATAGAAATGGCTTTTTCCTAATCCCCTGATCCGGAAAATCATCACAAAGCTTTTTCTCTCTTCAATTACATATCAATATTCAAGGTTTAATCTCAGAGGTATGTGCTTTGTCACTCTACTCATTTTTAAAGTTCAGTTCTTTGTGCTACAAGTGTAAATGAGAAGCCATGGTTTTTCTCTTTTGCTGGCTGAAATTTTAGAGCTTTGATGTGAATATTGTGTGTGAATGTGTGCTTGCTTTTTGGATGAAGTTGGTTGAGTGAGTGAGCTTTAACTCTTGAAAATTTTGGGGTTAGATTCGTGCTGTAATTTTCTGAAATTGCTATGAAAATCAAATGCCCATCATGCATTTGTAGAAATGCCTGAACAAATTGTTACTGGGCGAGGAAGACAACCCTTGTGATCGCGATGTGCCATTTCGCGATTGCATAGGTCTAATTCAGCTGCAAAACCAAATTTCCCTTCGCGATCGCGTTAACTATTTTGCGATCGCAATGCTTTGAACCTGAGGAAAACAGAAATTCTCTTCGCGATCGCGTGATGATTTCCTCAATCGCATTACTGTACCTTCAGGCAGTAAAACAATAGCTTTGTAGAATTTTATCCCGATGCTTTATAATCTCTTTCTTTGGCCTAAATACATCATAATACAGTTTATTAAATACCCATACAAGCATTTGACATGTGGTCTCCTTTTGTAGGTACTTTGAGCATAAAATGGCCTCGGGAAATGATGAAATTGTACAAGAGCTTACTCCCCCAGCTGTGGAAGAGGAATATTTTGATCGGGCCAGATTCACAGGTGTTGAATGTGAAAGAAACTATGACAAACTCATGTCAAAGAGCATTATCAAAGAAAGGGGCATCCATTTGGGCAAACTTGATGCTAAAATGCAGTATTTTTTCCGAAGATTGACTGACAGTGGATGGATTTGCTTTGCTCCTGAACCAATCAAAGACAACTACATAGTAGTTCGTGAATTCTATGCTAAAGCCTTGAAGATCGATTTTCATGGGAAAGTATTTACCTTTATTAAGGGCAAGCGGGTCAACTTTGATCCTAAGGTAATAAATGCTTACTTTATTCTTCCCAATGCTGATAATGAGGTATGCAGAACCAGAGCAAGGGAGAGAGGAAGCCAATGGTTGGTGGAGAAGCTTCATGATAGGGTAACACCGACTTGGGAAAGATTTCACAAAGGGGTTGATTTTTCTGAATTCACAGCTGAAGCCAAAACTTGGTTGTCCATTATTTGTGCTAGAATCCTGCCATCTAAACATGAGTCTGAGGTGATGCATGAGAAGGCATTGATGATTACTGCTATTATGGATGACTTGCCAGTGAACATGGGTCATCATATGGTGAGTGAGATTGAGAAAGCATGTAACGGGAGGTGTAAGAGTCTATACTTTCCCTTATTGATCACTCAGTTCTACTATGATACTAGGGTGCTAAAGGACCCGAATGATTCTGAGAAGGACCTAGGCACTGCAATTTATCCATTGCTCAGAAAAGGGCCAACTGGCGGGAAGAAGAAAAGGAGGATTGATGTATCATCTTCTTCATTTGGGCAGTTTATTGACACTGCCGCTAGGCCCGGGGGTTCTTCTACAGCTGCAGTAGGGCTACATGACCCCATTTCTCCACTTCCTTATGGACTATGCGCCACCTCTCCCGTCAAATCTATGGCGTTGATGTACACATTTGCCAACTTGTAGCTGGCCTTCCGTCTTGTCCATCTAGGGAGGCCAATTCTGCTAGGACATGTAAGAAGCCATCTCTGCATGATGTAGTTCAGCATCAAAAAGCATTAAAAATAGGTTGGAAGACATGAACCGAAGACAAGGAAAGATTGAGAGGCAACAACCGAAGTTCAAGGAGAACGAGAAAAAGAAAAGCAAATTTATGTTCGGAATAATGCACAAGCTGAATTCATTCTGTGGCTCGCATGAATCAGAGGACGGTGAGGAGGAGGACTTGGAGCTCAAATTTTCCACCACTTGCAGCTTCGAGTGATACAGTTTCAGGGAGCACCTCTTTCATTTTATTTTGTTTTGTTTTGTTGCATTGAGGACAGTGCAACACATAAGGTTGGGGGTGGCTCAGTTATATGTTATGATATATGTGGTGATGTATTTGGAGCATGATTATTTAGAGCAGGAATTTTTTACTTGTGTATATTGGTTAAAATTTGTAGTTTATTAGTGATAATTTGTAGTTTAATTCTAGCATGTTAGCATTAATTTTTATTTTCTTATTTTATTACTTTATTTACTTGTAGTAGTATTAGTTAAACTCATTGGTTTTTCTTTATGCCGTGGTTCTTTTCCAAGAAAATAATTTGTGTCGAACCGGGTGACTTTTCCCTATGATGGATATTATGACAACTTTCTTAAAGGATTAGTCTTGTCTAGTTTTTCTCTTTTTAGGTAAATATTTTTGTTGTTGTTAGTTTAGCATCTAGTAAAAATTAGTTATTGGGTGTGATCTTTTTGTCCATAAAACATGTGGCTTGTTTGGTACCAACATGATTTAAACTTTGGCATATGAAATCTTGATCTTTAAAATGAAAATTGATTGAAGTGATAATCATTGTTGTGACTTTTAGGTTCTATTTTTGGCTCTTTGATTCATTAAATAGTCTTTTAGGCTATATGTGATTTTCTTTGGATCATTGATTTTAATTGGATTTTGAATTTATATGTCACTCGAGTTTGCATGTGCCATGTGTGGTGAGACTTTTTGTGAGTTCTCTTGTATTATTTGTAGTCTAGAACTTGTCCGGAATGTGATTCAAGCCAAAATCTAGACTAACATAGTTTGAAAAATGATGTTAGGCCTTCCTTGGACCATTATTGTGCCTTAAATTTCCTACCCGTGCACATTTTCCCTAGTCAAACCCCTTTTGAGCCTTTAAACCTTTTCTTTGGCAACCATGTTATAAGCTTAAATCCTTCGTTCTTTATTGATCTATCTTTTGGCATCCTACTTCCCTATGTACTTTGAAAGTGTAAACATAGGCTAAAAGTCTANATATATATATATATATATGATAGTGAAACCTTCCTTGATTTTTGAAAAACAAAGTTATGAGTAAGAAAGAAAAAAAGGAAGGGAGTTGTGAATAAAGGGAAGATTGAGTGTGGAATGAAAAGTGAAGAAGGATGGAAAATATTTTTGAAGGAAGCGTGCTTTAATTGTTGCAAATTATAGTGCTTAGGAAAGTTTTGAGTCACTCTTATCCAAATTGTGCCCTATCTTAACCAAAAACCTATATTGCAATCCTTTAAGTCCTACTTGATTTTGAACCAAGTGTGTCTACATTAGTGGAGAAATACATGAAGGGCAAGCCTATGTCACTACTTTTATGCATTTGACTATCTTTGTGTGACAGAGAGATAATTCTTTTCATTTGATATCACATTTGTGCTTAAGTTGCAATTTATAAGTTGGGATTCTCTCTTAAGTGTGAGGGCACATAAAATTTTGCGTTGTGAACTTAATCCAATATCCAATTGGGAGGAATGAACAAAAGAAAATTGTTGTAATAATGAGGCAAATTTTAAAGCTTTAGTGTCATGACTTGGTTGCTACTTTGATTAATGTGGTGTTTGACCACTTGAATTGAAATGAAATTTGTGGGAAGTTGTTGGCAATTTATATGCATTGGATTAATTGTTGGTACCAACTGAAGTCACCAGATTGTGTTTAATTTGAACTTTTTTGACTTGAAATGATGTTTGGTATGCCATTGAGCTTAATTGTTGATTTTATTGAAGAATGATCTTAGTTGTTGAATTGCTTGAAGACAAGCAATAATTTAAGTTTGGGGTTTGATAAGTTGGTATTTTACCAACTTATCTCTTTTTGATACTTAGATATTGGTATGATTTTGTTGAGAAACTAAGTCATTTATTGAGGTTTATTGGCATATTTCAGGTATCAAGTGATTTAGAGAAGATACAGAAGAAACCAAATCAAAATGTGTTAAAAGGGGGGAAAATGGACTACTGCTAGTGATTGCTCTGTGCGATCGCGAAGGATTATACGCGATCGCAAAAGTACAGGATAGTGAAGTTGTGCGATCGCGGTTGAAGCTGTGCGATCGCGGTTGAAGCTGTGCGATCGCGAAAAAGTAAAAATGGCCAGCCTGGTCAGTCGTTCTATGTGAACGCAGTTTCCTGTATACGATCGCGAAGCTTTGTAGAAGTTGTGAACCATGATTGCGGTTCTCTATATGAGATCACATAACATGTTTTCTAGGCAGATTCTGGATTCTGGGCAAAAATGAAATTTTACGTGTCACGACCTAGATTTTCCACCATCGGAGTCGTGATGGAACCTACTAGTGAAATCTAGGCAAGCCAATCATTTCAATTATTTAACTTTTCCATTTTTAAATCCTTTAGCAGTTATGAATTAACATTTGCGAAATCAACGGAAATAATAAATCGGAAGAATGAAATGTAACAATTTAATATTAATTCCGATACAAATCCAGAAACTAAAAACTACCCAGATCTGGTGTCACAATTTCACAGACTGTCTAGGAATACTACAAATAGGGGTTCGAAAGATAAATACAAAGTTATTTCTGAAATACATAAGAGAAATATATGGAAGGATAGAAGGAGACGCCAAGGTCTACGGACGTCTGCAGGACTACCTCGGGTCGCCTGATGGACTGAAGGCAGCAACCTCAATGTGGTCCAAAAGTTGCAGCACCGAGATTTGCACACAGTGCAGAGTGTAGTATCAGCACAACCGACCTCATGTGCTGGTAAGTGCCTACCTAACCTTGGTGAAGTAGTGACGAGGCTAGGACTAGACTACCAAATAAACCTGTGCAGTTAAATAATATACAGCGGAAAAACAAACGCAGAAATTCGCAGTTAAGGATAGGAGGGGGAGATATGTTGCGGGGAAATATCAAGTAACAACAGAAAACCAATAGATAAATGTAGGGAACACTATAACTCAATTATCAACAAGAATCAAGAAATCAAGACAAGTGCACGGCATCACCCTTCGTGCTTTTACTCTCGTCCTCACCATAAGAATCAATATAATCGGCATGGCATCACCCTTCGTGCTTTTACCTCACATAATCATGACACGGAATTATCCTTCGTGTATTATCACTCATATCATGGCACGGCATTTTACACCATGCATCACGGCATCACCCTCCGTGCGTTTACCTCACAATATTGGCACGGCATCACCCTTCATGCATTAACACTCTTAAAATCATACACGACATCACCATTCGTGCTTTACACTCTTCCTAACCCAAGCAACATTTACAAAGCAACTTGGGCAAGGGAATCAATAATATCACAATAAAATCCCAACAAGGGAACAATAACATATCAACAATATCCCGGCAAGGGAAACAATATCATGAATAATAACATCTCGTCAAGGGAGATAATATCAAAAGTAATAACATCCCGGCAAGGGAGACAATATCATAAATCTCTTCTCTTTTCCTCAATTACTTCACAACTCAATTCTCAACTTGAGACAATGCTCTACAATGTTTAATTACTAATAATTCTTCCCCAAGCCTTGTTCAACAATAGAAATCTTTATATAAAGCATGAACAATACGAAACGGAGTCACATTAATTATAGTATAAGACTCACAGGCATGCTTGACACCAACGTATAGATACTCGTCACCATGCCTATACGCCATACTAAACAATTAACACATAGCAAATAAGACACAACTCCTAATCCCTCAAACTAAGGTTAGACCAAACACTTACCTCAAAGCCACGAACACAATCAAGCTTCAACTACCACTTTACCTCTTGGTTTCACTTCCAACTGGCTTGTATCTAGCCACAATTTACTTAACGATATTAATAAATTCTAAATGAATCAATTCTAATGCATGAAAATAGGTTTTCCAATGATTTTCCCAAAAAGTCAAAAATCAACCCCGGGCCTGCTTGGTCCAAACCCGAAATTCGTATAAAAATCCGATTACCCATTCACCCCCGAGCCCGGATATATAATTGGTTTTGGAATCTGACCTCAATTTGAGGTCTAAATCCCCAAATTAAAATATTCTTAGGTTTTACCAAAAATTCCCAATTCCACCATGAAAACCCTAGATTCTAGGATAAAATCTTGTAAAAAGAAGTTAAGGAGTGAAAGAAATAAGTTAAAAATCATTTACTAGTGTTTTGGGGAAGAAAGAGTGTTTGAAAAATCGCCTCTTATGTTTTAGGGTTTTGAAACTTGAAAAATAGCTGAAGAGTCCCGTTTATATACTCCTCTCAAACTCTCACCCCGGACTGCATAAAAAGGACCGCGATCGCGGAGCTCCACCACGGACCGTGAAATATCGAGCGCGGCCATGAAGACTCAGCCTTGATCACCGCTGACCGCATAAATTCCATCGCGGTCGTGAAGCTCCTACCGCGGTAGCGAAGACCCCACCGCGGCCCGCGGAGCTTGGTTTCAGAGACCCGCAAATTTTCTCTAAACCTGCAACTGTCATGCTCTAAGTCTAAACTCACTCTGTGGCCTTTCCAAAACTCATCCGAGCCCTCGGGGCTCCAAACCAACCATCCACGCAAGTCTAAAAACATCATATGGACTTGCTCGTACGATCAAATCATCAAAATAACACCATCAACTATGAATTAAGCCTCAAATTCATGAAATCACTCGAGAACATCAAAATCACTACTTCCTCAACTATTTGTCCGTTTCATACCAAGACACTTCCGATTCCTAACAAATTCCACATATTCAATCAATTTATTATATAAGACTTGTACCGGGCTCCAGAACCAAAATACGGGCACGATACCATCAATTTCAAACATCTTTTCATTTCCAAAAACTCTTATATTTTTCAGAAAATAATTTTCTTAAAAATTCATTTCTCGGGCTTGGGACCTCGGAATTCGTTTCCGGGCATACGCCCAAGTCCCAAATTTTTCTACGGACCCTATAAGATTGTCGGATCAAGGGTTCGGGTTTGTTTACCAAGAATGTTGACCAAAGTCAATTTTATTTAATTTTAATAGTCAATTTCCTTATTTCACTTAGTTTTCACATAAAAACTTTCCGAAAATGCGCTCGGAATGCGCACGCAAATCGAGGTGAGACAAAAAGAGGTTTTTTAAGGCCTCGGA